AATGTGAATTTTCAGCAAGAAAAAAAACAGTCAAATGTGATATCAATGCAGAAGGAAACTATGAAGGTTGTTTATGATTCTGAGAAAAAGGGTTTGATGAAAGAAAAGAGGAGAAACTGAAAACAAATAAATCCTTCAAAAAAAAATGAGTGTTACATAGTGAAGTGTGAAAGTGAAAGTTGGCTATATAACTTTTTTTTATTGGTTAAAACTTTGAAGGAAACTTCACTACATCATTTTAGAAGCAATAAAAAACCTAAAATGAGTACGAAATTTCACCCATTAACGAAAACCACGGCTGACCATTACCTTCTTTTATATATGTAGGAAAATTCAGATTTATAATATAATATAGTTTACTTTCTCTCTTTATAAGAAGAAAGAGTTTGTATATACCTTCACATAGTTTCCCTTTCAAAACACCAAATATCGAAACACATAAAGCCCTTAGCCCATGTGGCGCACATGCTGATAAGCAATTTTAGGTACACTATGTGAGAAATAAGGGGAGTAGAAAAAGATCAAAGAAGTGAAGTAGAGAGTGAGATTTGCATGTTTTGCGCTTTTCTTCATGACTTCATGCGCTGATTGATACTATTAGATTGGCTGAAGTCAGAGGAGTCAGAGAGTCTCCACCAAATCAGAGTGTCAGTACTTGAATAATTTTCGTGTTGTGCATCAACAACTATTCAGCCTCTTACACCGACCAATCACACATTTTAAGTAAGCACTGATATTGATGTCCCGTTTTTAGATTGATTCTTTTTCGTCTTATACCCATTTGGTTTCTTTGAAATCCCTTTATTCTCTTGAATTCTTGAAATTTGGAAATTTCTTATTTCAAACCTGATGCATCGAAAAGCGTTATATAAATACTTCGATTTGCTTCTTTCCATGCTAGACCATCCAACATTTCTCAAGCCTTGTCGGTTAGTCTCATAAGTGCAAGTAATGACTAGGTATTTTGGATGTTATGAGATGTCTAACCATATATGGGGTCAATGATCAATGCTTTACAGTTGAGTAACCAGATCTGGATCGTAAACTCATGATAGGTAAATTTTACAAAAACCTCTTTCACCATCACTTGTTTTCAAAACATTCGCTCATACTCTCTTTGACCACTCGTTTATACGTACAAATTAGCTCATAATACAATCTCCTTTCACAAGCAGTACTATCTGTTTTTGGGACAAATTTTTGTTCTATCTCAGCTCTTGCATGCCAAGTTTAGAAACAATTGACTAAACCGGTAACTATTTTTAGGCTTCTAACCCATTTCAGAATCAAACCCTCTTCTATCTCTTGTGATGAACTTGTGGTCTCATATGACTTGAGCGTCAACAATAATCCCTCGTTTTAATGTTGCAAGCTGCATGACATTGCCTGCTCATGTTACTACCGTTTCTTTGTAGATTATCAAGACTTGTCTTGAGCAAAGTCATGTAATATATAAATAACCCATGTATCTCTCATGTCATGCTATTTTAAACACACCTATGACTATATGAAAAACCTATATAGTAAAGGCTAATATATATATATATATATTTCCCCAACTTTCAACTGAAAGTCTAAAACACAAGTTAATGAACTAAAAATAGAACTACTTATTACTTCTCACCACCACAGGTATCTCTCGTGGGTATTTTATATTATGACTCACACAATACGTTATTGTTATTGCATTAGCGGAGCCGACACAATAAAGTATCTAAATTATCCATCTACCTTAAGATCTGCGGACCGTCTTAAAAGCTACACACAAGTACAACTTGTTCAACTCAATTCCGAAAATACCCTCCGTCCAAGAGTTTTATACGGTACATATGGGTGGAAGCTGGAGAGATATTGAGCAATATAAATGGTTTCAAGACAAGAGCTGAGAGTAGAGATGCTTGAGTAAAAGATGTGTCTGTGAAGATGTTATTGGACTGTATCTAAAGAGTAGAGAAGAGTAAAGAGGCAGTGAGAGTAAAAGCGGCTCTTCTTTGTGTTTTCATCTTTACATAGCACACAGTAAGAGTAGTGAACAATATAGTAAAAAGTGAATACCATATACGAAGCCCATTGGAAAACAAAAAAAATATACAAAAAAAAGGGCCCAACCGGGTTCGAACCGGTGACCTATTGATCTGCAGTCAATTGCTCTACCACTGAGCTATGGACCCTTGTTGTTTAGCAATGTATACATAACTTTAAATACAATCAATCACGCGTATAAATTTACTCTCTCTTTCCCAATTTTGTTCAATGTCAACACAACTCAAATGCATATCACGAAATAACTGCAAGGCTTCACCTGGACATCCATTTCTGGCCAACCGGCAAGTTACACAGTAACCAAATTTTACAGTTCGTTTTAACTAACGCGGTTATTATCTAAACATCAGACTTAAAATCCATCTCGACTATCAAATCATGCATTTCACAGTCCAAAGATGCAATTCTATATCGAATTTCTTAGCTATAAGAGATTTAGGACTTAAAGGTAGAGAATATTTGATGCATAGCATGAAGGGGATGATTAAAAGTTATTACTAAAAAAGCTACAGCTGTAGTAGTTTTCATCACATTGTTTCTATAATCTTGTTAACCAGTTTATTGTTATTACATCTACTGAAAGAAAGGAAAGACCCAACCAACTTTCTATAGCCTCTTACTTTTCCTTTCTTTTGATTAGAGACATCAAACCTAAAAAAACCGATGAAAATTCTCTATTTATACGTCTGTGTCTGTCTCATGCTTGATGGATCTTCCACATGCCAGTTCTGTATCCCACAGACATTAAAGCAAGCTCCCAAAGCATGTTGGGAATGCTCAACATACTCACTTTAGACCCTGGAATCTCAGACCACTTCACAGAGATCTCAAGCATTGGAATGTTAAAACGCTTGCATAGGAACACCAACTCAACATCAAAGCACCACCTGCGTAGAGGCAGATTTTAAATGGCAAACCCTTATCGATTGCTTCTACTGCTATTTATCATCATTGGTTCATATTGTACATACCTTTTCAGATGGATGTTTGTGAAAAGTCTTCTAGCAGCTGCTCTAGTAAACATCTTGAAGCCACACTGTGTATCTCGAAGTCCAGAGCCAGCAGCCAACAGAACCACAAGATGGAAACCCTTCATCAAGAAGTTGCGGTACCATTTCCTCTGAAATTGAGCAAATACATCCAATCCAAGAAACTTATTACATGTATATGTAAAACCATCTGTGTGTGTGTGCATAGACAAAAAATAATAATGTATCTAAGCCAGATGTTTGCAAAACTTAACTGTAGCAATAGCTTTCTCCTCAAGATGAGCACGTGAACCAAATGCAGATACTTGCACATCACCTATCCTAAAATCAACATGCTTTGATGTTGGATCTCTGATTGAATTTTCTTCTCTAGCTNATATGTAAAACCATCTGTGTGTGTGTGCATAGACAAAAAATAATAATGTATCTAAGCCAGATGTTTGCAAAACTTAACTGTAGCAATAGCTTTCTCCTCAAGATGAGCACGTGAACCAAATGCAGATACTTGCACATCACCTATCCTAAAATCAACATGCTTTGATGTTGGATCTCTGATTGAATTTTCTTCTCTAGCTACTGCAAGGATCTGAGAGTTCACAAGAGATCAGAAAAACTGCAACACAGTTTCAGGATTGACTGAAATTTTCAATAGCATATAACTTAGGCAAACCTGATTTTCAAGTTTTTCTAGGTCAGTTACTCTAGTTGCTCCATCAGCATCCAACATGAGAAGTAGCTCACCGCGAGAATGCATCATTCCCTATTTAATGCTTTCATAAAAGTAGAAAGCTTCCATCAGTTAATCGTTTCCCTATGATGAAATGGTAAGCATACTATTATCCAGTCACATTACTAGGAGTTGAACTCACTTTTCTTATAGCTTCTCCTTTCCCTTGATTCTTCCCCAGTGGTATAACCCTTATCTTGTCAAGTGTGTACTTTCTAACGAAATCAAAAGCTACTCTTTTTGTTCCATCAACACTTCCATCATCAACAATTACCACCTAGAAAGAGAAAAAAAATACTCCACTCATTCATATATAATTTAAGTAACGATGCAGATTGATTGAGTGACTCATTATGATATTAATAGACTAGTAAGTAAGCTGTGATCACTGCAACGAAAACCTTGAAAAGCTCATTCATATTTACCATAACAGAGGCCATATATAAGTTATTCATCAACCTTAATAAAATTGAAAAGAGATGAAACAGAAAAATGAAAAACTGTTTACCTCATAAGAAAAACTCTTATCCCGTGAAGCACGACCTTGAAGGTAACTGGAAATCATAGAAGAAATACAATTATGGCTATGTAGTTTGCATACATAATAAAAGTTTCTCTGTTTTGAAAGAAAATCAAACTTCTAATGAATGGAAGCAGAAAGCGCGTTTATGAAGAAGTGGAAAGTAATGGTTTAACTAACTCCATTGTTTCCTGTAGAGCTGCAGGTAGCCTCTGCTCTTCATTAAACGCCGGAACAATTAAAGACAAATACTTCTCCGCAGGGTCGGAGATGTGAGGGCAAGGAACCTGATGATAAAGTTTGAAAATAAGTGTCAGAAAAAGAGCTAAAAACGGATTTNATTTAAATTTTCAAGCTTCTTTTACCAAAAAAAAAAAAAAAAAAAAAAAACGAGAACAATTGATATAGCTGAATGTGAAGCTTCAATGCTTCATCATACATTAATAGTGTCAAAGCTATAATCAAAGGCAAAACCTTTTCTCAGTTCCATTTACTGTAACAACTGATTCACACACTAACAGCAACAATCATACTAATGAATTCAGACAAAGACCTGTTTTAAGGATGTCGGATCCTCCAGTGTAGTAGTCTCGCTCTCGACAGAACTGTAAAAAATCACAATGTAAGAAAGATTATTAAGATAAAGTCATAGAAGTTAAGAAAGAAGCAAATCTTAAAAATTCGAGTAGTAACGTTACACGTTACTGTGTCTCCTTCTCCAAGCTTCCAAAACGACGACGGAGAAGACGATCACCAGCAGCGTGAGGCCGAGCTCCGCAACTGTTAATAGAAACTCCATTGCTGCTTCTCAGATTATTAGAGATCTCTTTAGCTTCACGATGCAGAGAGATCGAATGAAAGCTAAAGTTTAGTGATTTGATTTGAGTGATTTTGCAGAGCATTCCATTTTGGTTTGACTTTGTGGTTGAACCATTTATAGGTTCGGTTTTATTCGGTTAGTTTTAACTTTTAAGTAAAACTAACCAGATACTAAACCGAGAAGGCTTTTCTTTAACCGGATTGATCTAGAACCATATTTTGTTTTCTTTTGTTTTGTTGTTGTTTCCTTAAATTCGAATGTTTAACTTTTAGGAATAGTTATTATATATAAAAAGTAGAACACAGATGTACTATTCTTGTGCCGATGCTTTAACTAGACGTTTACTAACCTGTGATACTGAGTGGAATTTGTTCTTTGTTGTCATGATTTTGTCAAATATCTTGCAATTTTTGATAATGGTTTATAATGAAATTTGGCCGATAAATTATTTAATAAATCGACATGTTACAAAAAATAATAAAAAATCACTTTAATTGTTAGTTCTAACCACTTCTGAATTTCTCAAAACGTCTATACCATGTGCTAGTGTTTGGAGTGGTAGTAACGACAATGCCACTATCGCTGAAATCACAAGCCTCGTCAGATTTACCCTTGCTTTGGTAATAAACGTTCATGATGAACGAAACTCGTGTCTTCAAATTGTTGTTGTTGTTGTCGTCAAAACATGTGCCACCAGGTGAGATTGGCTTACAATCAATACCTTGGCTACACACCCACTCAATATTGGCTCCTAGTTGTGCGTCTGTGGCTTCTTGTTTTGCCACACACCATTTTCCATTGTTGCTTTGTGCATCTCCTCCAGTAACACCTCGTAAGACCCCAACATCACAAACCGGAGAAAAATCCGGTTTGAATAACCCCCAATTTTTCTCAACGGTTGGACCGGGTTTACCATCCTCGCTAAACAATGCAAATAATGCTTTCACTTTTCTCTGTTTTCTTTTGATTTGGGGATTTAATATTTGAAACCGAACTAAATCAGTTAACTTAAATATTAAACTAGATTTTGAACCCGCACATCCGTGCGGGTAATTTTTCATTTTATAAAAATATAACAAAATCTTTCAGATATATCATTTACATTTTATTTTTATATTGTATAACTATAGAATCTTATTATTTTAATTATTTTATATGTTTTAACAGTGAATAAAAGAAAATTTTAAAATAAAATATTTTTCTTTACCAATTTAATAAATTTTTATATTAATTTCACATAGCATTTTATTTTAATATAATATAGAAAATCATTAAATTATAAAATATACCAATTTTTATTTTTAATTATTAATATATATATATATATTAATCACGAAATTAAATAATATATANACATAGCATTTTATTTTAATATAATATAGAAAATCATTAAATTATAAAATATACCAATTTTTATTTTTAATTATTAATATATATATATATATTAATCACGAAATTAAATAATATATATTTTATAAAAATATTTAACTTTCTTGGTAAGATCTTGTTAGATATTTTCTCAACAGATTTTGTTATAAATGAAATTAAAGATGATTTTATAGTTATATATTATTAAAATATTTCTTCAGTAATATATATTTGGTTGATTAATATAAATAATCAAATATGTTATATTAATGAAATAGTCCAATATGACTTTTTGTAGTAGATATAAATGGTACTTCTGTTTTAATATATAAGATATATCTTATTTAATCAAGGTTTCGGCAGCAATATATGGTCTGGTTTACCTTTGGTTCAGTCTTAGGCAATGTTTTAACAAGCCGAATTTGTTTAACCGTATTAACATTTGTTTTAAGAATTTGTGTTGCCTGGAGCTGTGTGTCTGCTTTGCATGCAAAGAGAAAATAAACATTCCCCTAATAATGTTAAATGGGGAAAAAGTTAGGTCAACAAACAAATAACACGAAAGAGGGTTTTATATTTGATTTATAAAAATATTATATTTTTCAGTACTACAATTTTATATTTGTACGTAACAAGTTAAATAAAATTTACTAAAATGATCCTGAAACTTATTTTGTATTATACTAAAAATTATATTAGGTTTTATACGTGATCATATAATATCTTACTAAAAAGGTGTATATATATTAATTATTTTGCCTCACTATAGAAACCAAGTTAGCTTATATCATTTATTTTATATATTTGTGTTAGTTATAACTTGTGCTAAATTATTTATTTTGTTTTATTTATAAATAAATGACTTTTTTATAAATAAATGACTATCATTTAGTTTTGTGTACAATTCATCTTTTTTTTTTTTTGCACTGGCTACAACTGCAAAGGTTCCCATGTATAGATCCGGCTTACACGTTTTTTATAACGCATGTGCCAGTGCTTGGATTGGTATTAGTTACGACACCACTACCGCTGAAATTACAAGCCTCTTCCGAGCCACCTTTGCTTTGGTAATAAACGTTCATGATGAATGACGATCGGCTCTTAATGTTGTTGTTGTCAAAACATATGCCCCCAGGTGAGATGTCCTTGCAATCAGTACCTTGGCTACAGACCCAATCAATATTCGCTTGTAGTTGTTTGTCTGTCGCTTCTTGTTTCGCCACACACCATTTTCCACTACTATGTGTACTTGTTGGTGGACCTGTATTACCGCCTCGTAGGACCCCAGCATCATAAACCGGAGAAAAATCTGGTTTGAATAGCCCCCAATTTTTCTCAGCGGTTGAACCGGTTTTACCATCCTCATTGAACAATGCGAATAAGTATATATCTATGTGGCGATTAGGCATAAGAGGTGTCCCTATATTTTGTGCACGCTTGATGATGTTAATGTTGTAGTTTGCTGCGTTTTGAGGCGTGCACCATGAGGCATCACAAGCACTAGGCCAACCAGTTTCTCCTACGGCAATATCTACATCCCCATAGCCGAGAGCACTGATACCTGAATAAGTTGCATCCATGACTGCATCGAACATGTTGTTGTAGGTTTTTTTGGTTTTATAATCCGTTATAGAATTTGACGGACCAAACATAGCGTAGTTGACATTCTTCGGGTCCACCATGAAATACGGGTAGGCGTTGAACATGAATGGGGACTTGGCCTGACGATGGAACTCCAAGATCTTAGTATAAAAGTCTTTTTGATCATTGTTAAATCTGCTCTCGCTTGGTGCGTTTTGGTTATAGCCTACGGAAAACGCATGTGGAGTGGTCACCTAAAACAAGTGACACAATAAAGAATTTAGCACATTAACGGTGAGTATTCATATTTTACCCGTAGCTGTTATATCTACTGGTAAAACCTATTATCCTAAGGGTAGAGGTACCAAGCTCGAGTCTAAGCAGTTGTGGAGAAGGGTTTTAGCAACATGTTCTTGTCCCTTGCCCAAAAAAATTATCGGTTTTTGTTTGGACTTCTTGAATTCAAAAGAAAAAACGAATCATGTTTTTCTAATATATAACCGATTTTTCCGTACCAAAATCCATATTAATTTTCAAAGATTATGGAATGTTAAAATCAATTTGAGTGGTAGCTACATAATTAAAATGGTAATATGAGAATCCGTCCTCAACAGAACCAGTATTCTTGATAAGCAAGTGAAATATTGATCTATGACCCAAAATTTTAAAATGATTTACAAGAACACATATTTCCAAATTTGTAAGAAAAGACTACTAAAATTACTTTTAAGTTCTTTGTACCTCTCAAAATTTTAAATCGACCAGTTCCTTGATGAAGTTTATTATCTAACATATATAAAGTGTGGTAGATCGATCATATCGATGTTATGAAAAACACGAAGATAAGAAAAAATCTAGAAGATCAAAACGAATATAAAGAAACCGGGAAAGATCAAGAAAATATCAAATAACTAACCTTTATATCTGGTAGACCGGAAGCTTTCAAAGCTTCGTAAAGACTTTGCATAGCCGGAACAAGATTTGAGATCAAGTTATTGTCTTTAGTAAGAAGAATCTCATTCCCAACACAGATGTATTTGATCTTAGTTTGTTGGTGAAATGGCAAGACATTTGCACCGACCCATTGACGAGCATTTTGAACGCTAGCCAACGCTGGAATGTTACCATTAGGGACCATAATGCTGACGTCTATTCCAGTCCCTGATAGGGCTCGGAGGATGTCAGGATTCGCGTCAAAGATTTTGACACTGTTGATATTGGTTTTTGTTTTGATGAAGTCCACCACTTGCTGTGGCGACGGAAGGTTCCCCATTGTTCCATAGTTGACACTTATGGC